GAGAGTTTTGGGTACAGGCCAGAGGTGCTCCCTTTGTGCACACAGGCCTTTAAAACAGCTTGGATTTATTGTGGCTCTTAAGTGGCCCAGGCTAATGGCTTGGCGTGGATAATGTCTTGGTTTAATTGGTTATTGTGAAAGCTGCTTGTTTCTACTGTGGAATTCCTTGTCCCTGCCTCTGTAGCAATTCCTTCCAGGCTCCCTGAATCAATACAGCCCTCACTCAGGGTTGGCTCTGTGGAGGCAGACACTGCCTGGGGGGAGGAGCCCCTCCCACAGGACTTCTCACATCCCTGGCAGACACCAGGCTTGGAGGCAGGGGGCCTGCACTGGTGGCAGTGTGACTGGGTTCAGCCTAACTCTGGAGAGTGTCTTCCAGTGTAAAGTTAGAAGGGTGCAGATAGATTTGTACAAGGGAACCAGAAACCAACCTTTCCTCACGTGAGCAGGACAAGCACATCAAAGCAACAGGTGGACTCACCTGGAGCCAGAACAAGCCACTGGGGGGGGGGGGGTGCACCGAGAGAGAGAACAGCCTCTGCAAAGGAAGGTGGCATCTACATTTCTGAAAACAAAGAACCCAGATGGTCCTAATTCTTATTATGGCATTTCTTTCCAAGGTCATAACATTTCTTTTAAGTCTTCTTAAGTCTTCTGACCTTAAATATATTTTGTCCTAATTCTTTTTTAAGGTGTGTGAAATATCCTAACCTTTGTGATCTGAAAGCAGCCTGTTTAGAAGCCACCGTAGAGCTGAGCACGCTGTGCTACTGACCTGTTTACATGTGCGTCTCCTCCTACCCCCGTGGACCATGAGCCCATCAGCAGTTTGCGATGACAGGGCCTTCCTTGTCTGTTTGCCCCGGAGCCTGGCAGGCCTTATAGTGTGTCTCATGGATGTTGAAGGCATGTTCCCGGGAAGATTAAGGAGAAGGAAACATTAAACTTTGAAGCCTTATCCTAGTGATGTGTACGTCGGGTATTTTCATGTATTATAAATGCATGCACCAAATAATACCTATGTGCACAAAGATTTCAGAAAGTTGCACTTCTTGAAGTAGAACTTACAGCAAGTTTTCTAGTGGGATCTGCTAGAGCATTTCAACACTTGAAACAGTGCTATGGAACGGAACAAAAGCCTGACCGGCCTTTCACATGAGCAATTGATTGACTCTTTTGCCTTCTGACTCAAAACTTATACTTGGGATTACTTTATGTGACCCGTCTGCCTCACACGTGGTTTTACTTTATGTGACCCGTCTGCCTCACACGTGGTTTTACTGTATGTGACCCGTCTGCCTCACACGTGGTTTTAGATTATCTTAGTTTCAAGGAGCTAAAGGGTGAGCAGGGGAGGAGATGAGCAGAACATTTTATTTTATTAATTACTGATTGATTGAAATACCTTTCATTCACACTTTGGTTATTATCCTATTTTTTTTTTTTATGTTCTGAACATCCTGAGGGTAATGATACCAGTTGACACTTTTAAGGAAGAAAATGTTAAATTTAAGTTTGGTAAAGGCTCTCCTTACTGAATTTTTAATTCCGGCGCTGAGTTCTTTGCCAGGTACCAGTGAAGTGACAGCTGCCTGAGCCAGCGGCTTCCAAAACAGAGTTCATACAACCCAGCCCCAATCAATCCTGGGAACAAAAAAAGATAGTATTAGTAATTAGCTTTATGCTAAGAGAAACACCAAGCTTTATGTATTTTTAAAACTTTATTCCTATTTTATAATTGAATATATTAACATATTCATGTGTATAATTTATAAATAGACATCAAATGCACGCTCAGTTTTGGAGCAATGGAATATGTAAGCAAACGTGTTGAGAGGCCTCTGCCCTAAGCATGGATGCCTCTCGATGGGCAGGTTTTTTCATCAGTGATCAAGTCCAGTTGAAAGGGGAGAAGAAAAGCTGGATTCCTCCCAACTCTGTGCAGCAGCTCTGTGCCCCTCCTGGTCGATGGCCAGATGGAGCGCTGAAGCACATGGTTGTGTTCTGTGGCCCCACTGTCTTTAAAGTGACACTTGGTACATTTTTCAAAGAAGGGCTCTCCAAGCCAGTCCAGACTTTTTCCTCACTAGGGAGAATTCTTTACCATGACTTTTTAAATCACTGCTGAAGAAACCAAAAACAGAGCCTGATTCTTGGGCTCAGTCCAGCCCAGACTTTGCACTCAAAATGTGGCCTTAGATTTCTTGACTTCGAGGTCACGGCCAATAAGAAGTTCAGGTTTTTTCAGAGTTCCTCCCTGCCAACAAAACTGATAACACTCTCCACATCCTTTGGCAGTCTACATTGACTATAGGGATGGGGCGTGGATAACACATTGTTGGGTACAATTACCTCCTGGAATACAATGCATCTTCTTTTAGACATCCCAGGGAGATAATTTGGACATAATGAAGATCTATAGTAATCAGATAATTACTATCGATTGCTCTTTAGGCGTCTTGATGAGGTAATTAGGGCATACTGGAAAGAAGCTGGAACTGATTGATTGGCATGACTGTAATCTCAGAGATTTCTAATTATGTTTCTTTTCTTCTAATGGCTTATAAACAAACATCATTTTAGCTTTAGGATTTGTCAGGTGCCAGGTTCAGTGGGAACATCAGCTTTCTCTGTTATGCTAACTAGACAACAAACAGGATCACCATAAGTGCATTATGCCTTCCTGCTGAAGCAGAAGGAACCGCAATTAACCCTCCCTGTTCTCCTTCTCCTGTGTTTCCACATGGCCGGACGCGTGTTGAGGAATGGGGCAGGCAGTGCTGTGGAGGGGGTTCTGCAAGGAGCACGTGTGATGGGTCTGGACAGGTGCGTGCCGTCCACGGAGCCCCTCAAAGCCTGCCGCCGAGCTCAGGCACGGCAGAGTTGGGGCACAAGAACACAACATGTCAAGGTGGCCAGCTGACTGTGGCTGGGGGCTGGCTGACTGCTCAGGTTCCTGTCACAAGTAATAGCTACTCATCGTCCAACCACGTTAAGTCCCAGGTCACTAACTCCCAGGCAGCCGGACCCCACACTTCTCTATGTCAACGTGCTGTTGCCTCATCGCTCCCATTAGACACTAGCCAAAGAAGTCCCTGTCTGAGACCACATTCCACATTATCCTAATATTTTTTACACCTTATAGGACCTTTCAGCAGCTTGCACTGTTCAGAATAGTGACCCAGTGATGATGGATCCTAAGAACCATGCTAGGAACTAAAGCAGCAGCTTGAAATAAGCTGTTTCCATCTAATCAATGATATTGGTAAGCCCCACACTTACTGGACTACAAGGGCATAGGTTAGAACTCATTCACCAAATGCAAAGTGATGCATTTCTGGATATGAGGCAATCAAGTTCCCATCCTTGAACTTGTCTACTGTGACTTACCGGTGCTTGGTACCCGGGTAGATGCCTACTATGTGGTACATACATGCGTGTGGCATTCTGAATGAACACCCATGTTCTTCAACTTCCTGTTTTCTATTGAAAAAGCACCAAATAAGAAATTCATATTTTATTTTTATATTTTTAAATAATATTCATTATATTCCTGGATCCCTATTTTTAAAAGATCAGGAATTGCCTACATATTTGTATCATTACAATTTTTAAGGCATGAGCAGAGTAAAATGCATGGGGATGGTTCAGACAGCAGAAGAGACCAGGATGGTTTGTTCATTGATAACTAATGGTTTGCTGCTGTTTGGATAATTACAGCTGTAGCTGGAAATGCTTCATTAACTCCCATTAACTAACTGGGGAAATGGAAGTATAGACAGAATTTGTCTTTCTGTTATCTCTTTATCGTGTAAGTGAATTACATAGCAAATTCTTTCATCAGCTATAATTCTTGAGGAATCAGATGCTCTTTTTAAAAATTAGTTTGAGGATTTACTCCAATATTTGGTATTTAAAAACTTTCCTAATCTACATCAGACTGTTTTCCTCTGATGGGGTTTATAATGAGCCTATTCTGAATTTTTTTTAATGACTAGTAATTGTGCAATGAACTATTTTAAGCAAAAAATTCATGTTTCTGAATTTGTACCAAAAGAAACTACAAGAGATTGGACTAAACGTCTATACAGGTTCTGAAATTTTATTTGTGGGTTTGTTTTATCGAATCTAAGACATGGTCTTATAGTGATTTGCCCCTTTCTCTAAAAATTAGTTGATCTACTTTTCTTTCTTTATCTTTCTACCTATATTTTATTTGCGGTTCTTCTAGTTTTTTTTTTTTAATTGAATGGTAACTATGTACATTAATGCACTTCTGGGGTACAGTGTGGGGTTTTCACACACAATCTGAAACTCTTCCATCAAACTGGTTAACATAGCCTTCATGTCATTTTCTTAGTTATTGTGTTAAAACGTTCATATTCTACTCTTAAAAGATTCACTTGTACCCTTGTAAGGTAAACCTCAGAAGTGATCCCTCCAATCCCCCTCCCTCTACCCATTCACCCCTCAGCTCTCCCTCCCCCCTCCCTGTATTCTTAGGCTGTTATTAGGTTACAGCTTTCATATAAAAGATATAAATTAGTTTCATAATAGGGGTGTGTACATTGGATACTTTTTCTTCCATTCTTGTGATGCTTTGCTAAGAACATTTTCCAGCTCCATCCATGTGAACATGAAGGACGTAAAGTCTCCATCTTTCTTTATGGGGTTCTTCTAGTTTTGAAGTTTGATTGCTGATCACCTGCATTGGATGAACTGATCACGTGTCAGTTGATCAGGGCAGATGGCACCGAATTTGCTGCAGGATGGCCTGATAGAGATCGTCCAGACAGTATATTAGGAGGGCCCAGTCCTGGGCCAGAGGGGAAGGCCTTCAGCTGAGGGTCTCAAGGCTGCAGAAGTGGGTGGTCATGGCATTACAAAGTCAGGGCTGCTTTCAGAAAGCACAGTGAAGAAACTTGCTCCTTTGATAATGAGAGTTCGCGGATGTGATGCAATTCACTAACATGCTTTGGGTTTGGGGCATGTCATTGTAGGAAGTTGTACATCTTGAGAGGCAGATGGGAGGACAGCTCCTAGAAGAACCGAAGGCTCTTCATTTCAAAGGCAGCACCCACAACCTGCGCCTGTCAATTCACGATGTTGCCCATTCCCTCTGGAAGAGCAAATTGCTGGCTAAATATCAGGTAAGGGTCCCAAGCTGAACGAAAAGCTTGAAGGCAGCTCCAATAAAGAGGGTGAAATTGCACAAACCTAAGACATCCTCATCCTTGAAATTAATATCATGCCAGTGCTTGTTTCTCCAAAATGGTATGGGGTTATTCAGGATTTCTGAAAAATACCATATCACACATTTGAAAGAATGTGTTTTTAAATTCTCCTTTTCAAAAACTGGACTATTGTTTTATTTTTAGTAAATAAAAAGACTTCCAATTCTATCATTTCAATTAATTTTCATATAAACATTCACATTCAGTTGGTTAAAAGCAGCCTCAAATATATTCATAGGACATTTTTATATCATGTGACACAAATTAAGCTTCAGCCTTGGTAGCCAGTACCCTTACTTTGAAAACTTAAAGGAACTCCAGTTTGGGAACCCACGTAGCATGTAAAAGTAAAGCCCAGTCAGGATTTTATTCAGCAACAGATATAAAAATACCAGTTCCAAGTCTCTTTCTATATAGAGAATACATGGGATTCTCCTGGGAGAATCACAGGACTCCCAAGAAGTTTCACGTCCGTCTCTGTCAATCAGCTGAGCTCTCAGGAGATGGTCCGGATGGCCTGGTGCACCTTAGACCCAGTGCTGGGAGATGCAGACACATTTAGAGAAGTTGTGGGTCCGTGTCTGTGCACACACCAATCCAACCCCAGCACTTCAGCTGACCCATTTACTGCTTCCTGATGTAAGTCAGTGAACATGCTAGAAGGACTGGGGGGAAGACCCTTCAGCTCCATTCTTCCTCTCATATGTCAAATCCTGTGGCTCAGTGGTGGGAAACAAACCTGGTTTGTTAACAGCCATGAGCTGTGACAGGGGTTGCATGCCAGACTCTTCGATTACACAGATGAGGCTTTTGATCTTTCAAGAGCCTTGACTGATCAGGAGCTGGGGCTTTTGACTTTCTCATTACATCTCTCCCGTTGTTTTCTTCTTTCCTCCATGTTGCAATGGACAGAAAATTCCACACATCTCCCCCTTTCATAAGCAGTTTTCTTTATGCAATTATAATGGAACACACTATTTTACTAAGGATGATAATGTGATATTAGATAAAGCCCACTGTGGCTGAATGCTTACCATCTGCCCGGCGCTTTCTCGTGCACTTGGGTTTATCTCATTTAACCCTAGCAGGTGGATGGATTAGATGCCCTTTGTTTACCCTTGTGCAGAGGAGGGAACTGAGGCCTGGAAAAGTTAAGTAACTCGGCCCAAATTGCCAAGTAAGCAAGAGGAGGGTGTTTTCTTACTTCTACTAGGTGTGGCTCAGATCTGCTTTTTACCACTGGGTTCTCCTGTTTTTTCACGTATCAACTTTTTCTTTCCTTTATTGAAAACAGATCCTAGGATGGCCTCTGTAAGATGGTTTTCTAAGATGGTTTTAGAAAATTAAAGTCTGTTAGAGGCTTGGTGCTTTTTAAGTGAAAGACTTTTTTGTGGCTGCTAATTGAGTCTCCAGCGCGCGGCTGCATTAAGAGTGTCCAGGGTGCCCCGTCCCGATGAGGCAGATGCAGAAGCGTGAAGAGGGGAGGTGGCACGGGCATTGCCCTTTGGACTCTACTTTTCCTCAGAATGCCGCAGCAGGGATTCCTTTTAATGAACTGGTTGTATAAGTTTCACCCTAGGAATTTTATAAACTTTTTTTTCATCATTTACAAAAGCACCTTTTATAAATTAGAGACACGTGGCAGACTGGTTAGGTATGTGAATCCTAGAGGCTAACTGCTTAGGTGTAAATCTCAACTTTGCTGCTTACTTGCTGTGTGACTTTGAGTGAGTTATTTAACCTCTCTGGGCCTCAGTTTTTTGTTTTTTTTCCATGGGAAAAGGTGGTCCCGGTGTAGTGACCCATGAGGATCCAGTATGGTCATGTGTGATACTGAGCAGGGGACCCGGCAACAGAGTGGCTGACGGATTTTTTGGTTTTAGTCTCTCATTTGTGGTTAACACTTTCCTGTCCTTTAGGAAATTCCTTTTTACCATATCTGGAGTGGGTCTCAAAGAAACCTCCACTGTACCTTTACTCTGGAAAGATTTAGCCTGAACACGGTGGAGCTGGTGTGCAAACTGTGCGTGCGGCAGGTGGAAGGAGAAGGGCAGATCTTCCAGCTGAACTGCACCGTGTCGGAGGTGAGTGGCTCTCGTCTGTCTGCCGTCAGGGGGAGGGTGACCCTGGGGAGAAGACCGTGTGGGCCAGAGGGGGCCCACTAGGGGAAGTCCTGGAAAGCTCACCGTAGGTCCTTTTTGTCAATAGAATAATCCTTTTACTGAACATGGGAGGCTAGTTGCACAAAAGCAGATAACGAGGCCTCCTATTTGAAAAGCAAGTCTTCATTTTATGACATGAATTTCAGCATCATGTTCTAACTTTTAAAAGCAGATCTGAATTTCAAGTGCAAGGTTTAATTTAAGTAGCATGCACATGGAGTCCCTTTTCCCAAAGCGTCCCCCGTGAGCAGCACTCCCGTATCCTCCATCTGTCTCCTTCCTCCCTTCTCCTCCCGCAGAGGAGCAGGCCTGCCTGTGCCCTTCTCATGTGCGGCTGAGCGGGGTGGAGGAAGAGACGGGCCTCTGCCCTCCTGTGTCTCTGCTCTCCCTTTTTTCCCATGTAGAATGAGAAATTTCTTGGTCTCCTTTCTCTCTCATCTGCCATTCTCCAAATATAAGAAAGATGTCCTCTGGTCCAGGGTGGGGACAGTGTCGCAGGAAAAGAAGTACACTCTACCTATTTCCCACTGGTGGCCGTCAGCTTTGCCTTTCTTTGCTCAGTCTTCATGCACATCAGCTGGGCACTGTGTGTGTCCACATCACAGGAACGACAGTGATTGCTGCTGCTTGAAACTTCTCGTGAGGGAGGAGGAGGTGCCCGTGGCCCTCTTACCTGTTAGCTTGGATCCCAAAGCTTGAAACTGGTACCTTTTTCCTTGGGGGGAACAAAGGGATAAGCGGGGGCCATGTGGATGGCAGGCAGCTTCTCAAGGGCCCCAGGGTGCCACCCTGCCTGCTGTTTGCTGTGCCCAAAGCACAAGGTTGTCGTATTTTAAAACTACAGCGGGCCAGGTTGTGATTTAAGCCCTTCCTCTCCCTGGCTGTGTCACACACGGTGACGAATAGTGTCAGTGTGTTCAGCTTGTCTCGCTCCACATGTCACATTTAAAGACTATCTTCCCCAGCGAAGCCAGCAGGGAGAAATGTGTCAGCCTTCACGCCACTCCATCCTTCTTTCCCACAGCCGGCCGAGGTGTGGTCATCGTTTCCTTCTGTAGTTCCATGAGACTTTTGACTCATAAACAACTTTAGTCACAGACCCCGGTGACATTCATAAGGAATGATCTCGGTGTCAGGATGCCATGGCAACCGCCAGCCTGGGGATGCGCAGCCCTATCTCCCAGGCGCACAGCACCACCCCTGCTGGCTCGGGAGGGTGTTTTCACTTTCCAGGCCCAGCAGGTCTGCAAAGTTCAATAACCACCCAGCCCCAGTGACAACAAAGGCTGCGGAATTTTGGAGGGGGGCAGGAGGCCTGGTCCTTTGATGCTTGCTTTCTGTTCAGCGGGAACATTTGCTGCAGGGTTGAAAAGGTGGATCAGATGCAGCCACAAATGAAAGAGAGCTGCTGTGTGAGCTCCCCGCCAGGGCCGGCCTCACAGAAAAAGGACGGTTTTGCATAGTGTGATCGCAATTTAAGGACTTTCTTTCTTGTGCCAACATAGAGGGGAGAGGATTTCTTTTGCAGCGTGGTGGCAGTCTGCTCCGGGAGGCTGGGCTTCAGTCAGGGAGGAGCCATCTGCCCGGGTGTGACAGACAAGCGTGTTGAACTGAGGGAGGGAAAGAAGCGACTAGGGCACTTAGGGGCACTCTGTGGCCGTTACTTCTGGGTCACTGAAGCCCACCATTGTGGTTAGCATTTGAATGTGGGGCAGGGTGTGGTGCGCAGAGGAGGGAGCGTGGCTGTGGGTTCTGATGTCGGGCACGGGGCTGTGCGCTGATGAACAATGAACTCGGGAGCGTTCTGGGACCCAGATCCTCATCCAAACGTCCAAGGGAGTGTGCAACGGGACTGACAAAGCGTGAACAAGGAGAGAAAGGCTCCATTTGTGGGTTCTTTCTTCTGAACACGGCTCCTTCCTAGGGTCACAGGGCAAGACAGCAGGTGGGCTGGGGCTCCCGTCCCAGGACCCCATCTCCTAAGCAGCAGTTGACTTGCCAGAAATGAGCTGTCCCTTCCCACCAGCCACTCACTGCCCAACAGTGTTCAGCCCGCTCAGGCGGACGGTCTGTGGCCTGCCCCAGAGGCCAGGCCACAGGTAGCATAGACCGTGATCATTTCAGGAGCCAGCTAATTGCTTCTTTTTTTGTGCTTTGGTCAGAGATTCCTCAACTAGAGATAGAGCCTTTAATATCACAGGGATAAAGATTGAGAATAGAAATGTCTGGAAGACTAAAAGTATTGGGATGAATGAATCCCAATGACACAGGTGATGATGCAGGTGATACAGATCATACAGGCATATTTTCTTATGTTTAGACTTTTGTTTCATAGACAGGCACAGAAAGAGAACCAGAAAGTTACCCATGACCACAAAAAGAAAAAGCAATGTAAACGAGGGGGAAATTTACAGTTCCTCGTGCCTTCTACAGTGAAACCTCCATAGTTGGCCACCTCCTTAATTTGACTAATGGTCGTAGACCAGACACGCACCACATATACACATCGGTACAGTGGGCCTAGTTCCTTGTGTTGGCCACCTCCACATGTTGACCAGTTTGTCTGAGTCCCTTGAATGGTCAACTTACAGAGGTTCTACTCTATTTAATTTTAGCTATAGCCAAACACCTATTTTAGGAGATTCCCAAACAGATAGTTCCATAGGGATATGGTCAATTGCTTAAAAAAAAAAAATCTCTTCTTACCTCAGTTTCCCCAAGTGTAAAGTAGCATATTGTAACAATTTGGGCCTCTAGTGGGAATTAAACAGTGACTGTTACTAAGTCCTCTGGACAGAAGGTGGCCCACAGACCATGTCTTATGATTGATGGCACTGACGCCTTTACGACCGGGCTCTCGGGTAAGTTCTACCATTCCGACCTGTGGGATCCGTTCTCCACCAAAGCTTCAGATTACCTTTTATCAAAACAAACCAACAAAAGAAAGTCAGTTCCTATGTAAATAAATTATAAATAAATGAAAATTAGCTCTGAGAAAAAAAATAAAAGATGATACGTACACCTCCCCCCCCCCAAGCTGGTTTTCACAAAGTTGCTCTAGTTCAAGGCTCTGCACCCCAGCAGAGGTGCAGCTGTAGTGGCAGGATTAATTATCTGCTTTAATAAAAGATTTATAGGTGGTAATAGCAAGTATTAGCATGTCTTACATTTGCTAGATCTTATAACCTCTTATTAAGTAGGGATGTCTCGCATGTTTGTATAAAAAAGGAGAATGTTAAAAACGTGCAATGTAACACCCCTCCACTGCGGCCGTCCCACCTGTTGAATCCTTCTGTTTTCTACATCCTGCTCCTAAAGGTCATTTGGGAAATCTAGTTTTCGTAAGTGACTTGAGGAAGAGTCAGACTAGGGGAGGGGACATCTGTTTGGGTTATGGAATTCTGAAAATGTGTGTCATTGCCTGTAGCAGCTGCTTGGTTAATGTTGAAAAATCATATGTTTAACTACCGGAATCATAACATCAAAGACAGATGGAACCAAGATGATAAGCAATTATTGTAATAAGCATTCTCTGGGAATCAACTCTACTCTTACCTGGAAGTAAAGGAAGATCTAACAGCCACTGGAATGAGTAGATGAAATGTGCGTGCACGTGCCTTCCTTGTACCGCCAAGGCTCTTGTCAACCATCTGATAAGAGAGATGAGAAATCACGCCCTGTTCAGCTTCTTTCATCAGCACAGAAGTAAATTTGCAGGGCAGCCGGGGCTAGACAGCTTAGGACTCCACCCCCGCGTGAAATGGTGACGGCTCTTTATTCACCACGAAAAGGGGCCCACAGGAATATGTGAGCAGACCTTCCCGAGACCATGTCACAGACTTTAACTTCAGGATTTAACAAACCCTGAGCCACATTTAGCTGGGAGGAAGTGCCACACAGTACTCTGTGACAGGATTCTGTCAGGGACCGGCTTCCTCTGCCTTCTGTTAAGAAAAAATATTTTCTTCCATATCAACAAATGTTAAGCAAGTGGTGTCTATGTGAAGGGCAGCGTGCTGGGTATCGCGGGGGTCTGAGGGTGACAGAAAGGTACTCCCCTCCAGGAAATGTGAGAAGTCAAAGGAGCAGCACTAAATACAACCAACCCGCCAGGGGTCAGTGTGAGGAAGGCCAGCAGGGAGCCCCCGGGGAGGGACGGGTGCGCAGGGAGCCGTGGGGGACGGCTGTGTGGCCTGGCCTTCCAGAGCTTCGCTCACAGAGATTAAAGGAAAGGGCTGAAGTACTGTCGGGGCTGGGTCCTTAGAACGACAGGAGGTGTAGCCAGTGGTCCTCACACTCGGGGACAGTATGAGTTGGGTCGAGTCACATCAAGGGTGGGGCATGCTGAGCGAGGTTGGGGGGAGGGGGGAGGCACCTTTGTTGGGGCCCCACTGTGTGCTGGGCTCGGGCTCTGCACTTTGCAGGCAGCACTTCCGCAGCCCCATCCCAGCCAGTGGGCAGGTCCTGCAAACGTCCTTCACTATGTGGGTAGGAGTTGGGACCAGGCATGGTAGGAGGGCCATGTAACACTTCTTTCTTTTGACAGAGTCGCACTATGTCACCCTGGGTAGAGTGCTGTGGTGGCACAGCTCACAGCAATCTCAAACTCTTGGGCTTAAGAGATTCTGTTGCCTCAGCCTCCCAAGCAGCTGGGACTACAGGCACCCGCCACAATGCCCAGCTATTTTTTGGTTGTAGTTGCAATTGTTGTTTAGCAGGCCCAGGCCAGGTTCAAACCTGCCAGCCCCAGTATATGTGACTGGCACCCTAACCACTGAGCTAGGGGTACCGAGCCCATGTCACATTTTTTAATGAGGGAGCCAGAAGGGGAGTGCCTGTCAGTGAGGCACTATAGGAACATGGCTCTGGCAGACTGACCACAGGTCAGTTTTCTTGACTGATCAGGTCAAGATTTCTCAACTCTTGGGGACACAGGCTCGTTGCCACAGAAAAGCAGAGTTTAACCTCCATTGCCACCCAGGGCCCTTTGGGTGGTGGCATATTAGGAATGTGGTGGGTGTCCTTTTTTAGACCCTATTATTACTGTCCAGGAAAGAAGCAAACAAGACGTTAAGTGGGCGACAGCACTAACCTGTGGCGCTGGCCTGGGATTTCTTGTCACCGCCACCTGCCAGCCCATCTGTATATCACTCTGTGCCTAACACTGGCATCGGGGCTCTGGGTTCAGACGTGCCGAGCATAAATCCACCAATAAATGTGATGAGTGCTCTCTGTCACCCTCTGGCCACCTTTCTCAACCCCTGTGGCCCTGGGGTCAGGAACCATCTCTCTTGGTTCCCTTGGGAAGAGCGCGTGCCTGATTGGGGGAGAGCTGTGGGTCTGGATCCTCATTCGGGGGCTCCACCTCACACTGGTGCCTCTGGGTTTCGTGTCACAGTGTTTCAATGTGCTAGACCTAAGACAAAGGAGCCAATGGGATCCTCGGAGTGTCACTTAGACAACCTTTGGGTTTTGAAGCCAAATACTGTAACTATAACCAAGCCAGACCATTGTGCATAGGAAAGCACAAGGGAAAAAAGTTAGTTTTGATCTAAAATGCCCTCCAGGCCCACAGCGGGCCCTCCAGACCCGCTGTCATAGGACCGCAGGAACCTAGAAGTGAGTTTGTCTACTGTGCCGCACGGAGAGCATGCTGCCATTTGACCCTGGAACACAGGCAGCTATGACCCATTGCCTGCAATACCAAGGCACCCACACTGGGGGTCACTACAGCCAGGCACAGCAGGATTTGGGGGGCATGGGTGATGGTGGCACTGACCCCCTCTGCTGGGCACTCACGAGAGACTTCATGATGGCTAACCCTGTGTGTGTGGCTCCAGCAATTAATTATGCACACCAAGGAGTCACCTACATTAAAAAAAGAGAGATGACATTTAAAGTAGATTAAGTAGACTTTCTTTTATTGCTTTAATAGTTCCCAGGCGAGATTTGCTTTTGCTTTTCCAACCAGCAGAAGTGATCAGAAAATGATTAGAGTTTCTCCTACAGATGAAATTCAGACTTTGCATTTATGCTGTTTTATGAGCTGAAACTATTTTAAGAGCCAATTTATGGTTTTCTCTACTAAAATTAGATTTTAAAAAATAAGGGTGTACAGCAATTGGAGGATATCATTAGCAGCTTGCCCTGAGGCAACAATATACTGTGTTTACCATTTTCTTTTAAAAAATTAGTCCTAAATTGATATCATTTAGAGGAGAGCTGTGTTCCATTTCATTCAACAAAAGCAGAACTGAGCCATCTTCTGCCGGGGTCAGAGGGAGAATTGACTGGGGTGTTTGCCCAGGGCGCTACCCTCAGGATCAGACAGTTTCAAGAAGCTTTAACTTTCAGCCTTCTAATCTCAGATCTGTTCATTCTCAGAGAATTGCCCTTTTGAACATCTTCCCCTCCTGAAATCTAAACCTATAAAAGCATCAGTATTCCTTCTCTTCTCTCTCTGGAGAATCCCATTAGAAAAGGTGTGATTGAATCAACCAGAGCTTTCTAGCCCAGTCCTCATATGTGACTCAGAAATCCAGGGCTATGCAAAGTTAGCTCAAAAATATACGGGCCTCTTCTCAGCCAGGTTACATGGAGTAACTCAGAACTTTTAGGCCTGGAAGAAGCCATTCTTACTAAAGAGACTAAGAGCCCTCATTTGTTTCTTATCACTCAAAGCAAGGAATTATCCTGGTCCTCAGATATTATGGTGATTGCTTCAACAAGCATTGCTTTTGTCTTGAGAAATAATCCCGAGTTGTCCCTGACCCTGAACTACAGGAACCTACTGGCATCGATTTGCCACTGCTGGATCCTGCGAGCACCATCACCACTGTCACAGGGCCGAGTGCGTTCAGCATCCCTCTCCCCATCCGGCAGAAACTCTGCAGCAGCCTGGACGCCCCGCAGACCAGAGGCCACGACTGGAGGATGCTGGCCCATAAGCTAAACCTGGATAGGTGGGTATGGCGAGGCCCCAGCACTAGTTTCTGTTAGACACCGGTCTCCAGGGCTGATAATCGTTAGACATTAGGGGAGCAGAACATTTTTTTCCATCCACACATCTATTTGCCTTTCCAATCTACAAATATGTATTTAGTTCCTTCCTTGCACACACAGTGCTAAGAGACGTCCTGGGCCCATTTGACATTTCTGAGTATCAAGTTTTGTGATCTGCTTTGCAAAGCCGATGGGTCAGATCTCCCTAAATAATACATCCATTCCCTACAGTAATTATTGTTCCTCATCTACAATTGAGCAGGACCTACTGTTTGATGAATAATTAACGTGCTAACACAGTGTTGATATTAAGTTACAAAGAGACCTCTGGACACCTCTACTTAGTAGAATGTCACCATCGCTACCAAGCAAAAGACATGACATGACCTGTCAGGGATCATCAGAACCTGGGCTGGAAAGAAAACATACGTCTCTTGATTTCCTGTTTAGGATATGACCCATAGACATCTTGTCTCTTAAATTATCTTACTCAGAGTTGGAGGTTAACAAAGTTAAACATCTTGTCTCTTCTGTGGGGCTGATTTCATTAAGCACGAGCTAGTTATTTAGGATGGCTCACTGTCAACCACAGCAGGTCCAGGATACACGTGCAGAGACAGAAGAGTTCAGACGGGGAAAAACAGAAGAGAAAATAGATTTTTAAGTCTTACCGTTCTGCACATTTCCCCATTCCCAATTGCAGGTACTTGAATTACTTTGCCACCAAATCCAGCCCCACTGGCGTAATCCTGGATCTCTGGGAAGCACAGAACTTCCCAGATGGAAACCTGAGCATGTTGGCAGCTGTGTTGGAAGAGATGGGGAGACATGAAACCGTCGTGTCGTTAGCAGCAGACGGGCAGTACTGACCACGCCGGAACGGAAGAGTGAGGACCAACATGCACAGGGAGTCTGTGGCCGTCCAGGGAATCACAGCCGAGGAGGGAATGCCGACCAGACCCATGAGATCCAGCAGGACACAGAAGGAGAACAGCTCCGCCTACCAAACCACGCGCCCGCTCTACTTGGACAGCATCACAGGAGTTACAACAATCGTGTAAATTTGTACCTTGAATTTAGATATCAACCTAATTTTCCTCTTAGTTGGGCTGTATGCTGTGTGGTACAGGATCTTACAGTTTCCTAGGAAACGGTTTTTATTGCTATCCAGATATGTGGATAAACTTTCTTAACAAACCCAATTTCTACAAATGTTGTTTACATCAGATTGGACAGGGATGCAGACACTGTCCATGGCTTGTTCTATTTTTGTTCAGATCATTTGAAGTTGAAGCTGTGGACGGTTTACTGTGTCTACTGCAGATTAGTAATTTACAGAGAAATCACAGACTTTTGCTATAAATCGTGTGCATCGAGTGTCTCAGATAATCCTCTCATCAGTGTTCTGTTTCTAGAACTTGTAGAACCAGTGTTACTGTTCGTATCAGGGAAGCGGAGAATCTAAACGTAAAAAAGAAATAACTCAGACTCCTGTTCCTGGGAGGGGCCTTCCTGGCACCCTGCAGGAATAAAGCTGGAGCACTGCAGGGAAACAGTGATTCACGTTCAGCCACACAAACAAGCATTTCTTCACAACACGTGTGTTTGTAATATGCAATTTGAAGTGGTTTTTAAAAACAGGTATCATGCTTATCATTTATTATTATTATTGATGAGTCTTTGCGGTATGCTAGTAAAAGGATTTTCTTTTCACTTCTGTTTTTGTTAGCAGCGCTGTTAGTGTTTAGGTATTGACTAGACCTGCCTCCCCTTCTCCACGCAGTAGGTGTGGTCACCAGTTTAATCCCACAGGCATCAGTTCCTGGACCCGTTACCTTTCTTCTCCCATTCTGCCCTGGAAAGGCAGTGAATGCTTACTGGCTATGTGCATCTGTTCTTTCGGCTTGCTGAGGCAGGGTCTTTCTCCTCTGAGTCTTACCACGTTGACTTGTTATGTGGTTGTGTGGCCCGTGCTGACTCCCCCCATAGTGCTCTGTCTGCGTTAGAGGCCATGTGGTTGGAGGAACAGACTCTGAACTAGAGATCGGGGAACCAGGTCTCATTCTGGGTTCGTCACTATGTAGCCCTGGGAAAGGCATTTAACCTCACCTATAAAATGAAGGGGCGAGATTTGATCATCCAAAGTTTCTCAAATGCTAAATGTCCACTGTGATGTCTCCAGCCTCATTCATCAGTCTGAAGGTCACAGTGAACTCTGAGCTGGGTCATTTTAAATAGTCAGCTAGTCTTTGGCCAGGCTACATTATGCCTTTAAAATAGTTCCTAGTAGAAAAGTATTTATTCTAACCGGCAGCGTATTTGTTTGGCTTTAGTCTTGTCTTCGCAACGTTGCATCATGCAGTTCACTGAGAGATGCATCCCTTCATCATCATGTTCTTGTCCACTCTGGGGACTCCCCTAACCTTCCTGACTAAGTGCAGATTCTGTTTTGGTCTACCCATATCAAGACCACTCCTCCAAGATTATCCACCAGTAGAAACCTGGCATGTTTTTTTCCTCCCCCTTTAAATCTTTGCTTTCCTAACATTCAGTACCATTTACAAAGGTTATTTAGCCTTTTTAAAAAATGTATTCTACAGAATGTTAGTCAACAGACCACTTTGTGTTAACTACGAGGTTTCCTTGGGATCATCACAGGCTCTTTGTTTAACACAAGGGCTCAATTCATTCAGCAGGTGGGGATGGAAGACTCAACAGCCCAGTAGCCAAACCAAAACTGAACAAGCACCTATGTGTCTGAATCAGAGCCTCAGAACATGGCTGTGGGTTACTTTTGGAAGAGAGGTATCCAGGTTGCTGACTAGATTCAAATTATAAATCTTATTATATGTTTCCTCCTCTCCTTCCCTATGAATTTCCTGTCGTACTGTGGTGATTCCCTGACATCCCAGACTCTGCCATCCATACCGCTGAGGGACTGGTGATACTTTGTCAAGGAGCTTCTCCTCTCATACTTTCTTATTTTTTCTGTTTTAGACATCTATAATCTCCCTATTTCCATATTTAAAGTCCTTGTTACACTGGCAGTGAAGGGGAGAGATTGTACTAGTAAAAAGTTCAGTGGACAGTGTTTATACTAATAAGTAACATTTTATTCTAAATTAAAAATTGAATATCAATATGGACTTATTTTTTTAAGAGGAGGAGAAAGAAATGAGAGTCATTGTCCATTGTTGCATCTTGAAATACACTTAAGTTGTCTGGATTACACCTCAGTACTGGGGTTGTAGAATCATCTATGGAGATCAAGAACTAGGACAGCTGAACTGAACACCCGGGGGAATTTCTATACCTAGGGAAAAGTAGAGGGGAGCAACTATGGAATATTCACATAAATCAACCCCAAAACTCTTAGCAAAAACCTAGGCTTAGAAAATCCACCAACACAGAAATATTGAGCATCACAGGGACCATTTTACTGAAGTTGCTGAGGGCTCCTGGGATTCACTTCCCATGCTTGTTTTTTGGTTCAGCCTCCCTTCTCCAGAAAAGGGAAGAGTGATTTCTTGTAAGTGAGGTACACTTCTGTCTTGGAAATCTGTTCAAGTGAATGACAACTTCCATACATACAATATGCTGTTTACATCAACCTTCACTACGAATTCTGATTTCCTCCTCCTTTGGAGTAAAGGCACAGCTGTTAGATTGCTCTCAAACTTACAAGGTCCAGATGCAACACTTCATTTCACAGGTAGCCACTTCATCAACCATCCTAGGGGGTATGTCCTGTGGCCACACAGTTGGGATATGGAAACAAGCATTTGTGCATGGTGCCATCTAGTGGTGAGGAACACAATGTATCCTGAGTTTCATGTAAAACTCAACTAAAAGTTGTTGGACAGAAGCAATGAATACCTGTAATGTGCAACAGGACCTTTATGACAAATAGATGTGGCAAAATGTTCAAGTGTATAATTTTCTTGTTCTCAATTTTTTTCACTTACATCACGCATCTGAAAGTCGATGGCACTCTAAGCCTAACCCTAATACATCAGCTCATTCATACTCAACTCATAATAGAGATATGTAAAAATCTACTTAAAACAGTCTTTGAAGGGTTGCCATTTTTAACATTTCTGGTCTTCATTTGGGTTTTGTATGCTTTAAATCTCTTTCCTTTTACTTCCCTCATATTTATCTTTGGACATGTGGGCAATATCTGCTTAGAAAGAAATGCCTTGTATGTGTAAATGGGAATACTATGTGTGAGGAAGAGAAAATTGGGGTTGCTAAAATCAAGGAGAAAGAAGCTTCTTTCCCTCTGAATGTAAGAATCCTCAGGCAGAGATTTCAGCCTGTTTCATTCTCCTCCCACGGCACCCACTCAGATGCACAGTGGGACCTTGAAGGAATAGCAGTTGGATTCAGAAGTGATGACTGGCATACTGACAAACCCATGTACACCAAGGTACTCACGACCGACAACTTTCTATAAACACCATATTCCAAAGCAGACACCTCTGGTACACAGGAAACCCCCATCCTCACAGATGAGCAATTCAGCTGTTCAATAGCAGGACAACTGGGGGAGAGGGGCTGAGGTGTTCAGTATTAAATTGCATAATCATTAGCCATTTTCATATACACAATTTTATAAAAGATTTGAATCTCTCAACTATCAAATAGTAGAATCATTTTTAGGAAAAAGTCCTGAAGACTTGAGTTCAGGACTCTCTGGAATCTGCATATTTAGAACTTTTTTTTTTAAAGAGATTTCTACTATAAACAAGATATCTTAAACATAAATGTTTATAGGATGGAATTAAGACTTCCCTTCTTCTGGAAAAGAGCAAATAAGGCTCTTGTCTTGTGTATCCTTCTGTCAGCTGTGCTCCTGGTCTGTTTACTCCCTGTGTATGTGGAAGGGAATCAGTAAGGTGACCCCGTCTCCCCAGATTTCACAAGCCTTTTCTAGTCTAATAAGGTCTGCCCCTATGGGGCTAAGGAAATAGGAAACCAGATAAGGACCTGCAAGAGAGTGTAAAGAAGGAAGAAAAAGTTTACTTGTTGAGTTTTTAAGTCTTCAAGTTGAATGTGAGTTTTAGCTTTTGCTGAGCAGTCCTTCTGCACAGTCATCATCAGTTTCACTCGCAGACCATGGTGCAAGTCCAAGGCTAATGAGAGAAAGGAGGGCCCTGGAAACACAAGTGAGATGAAATTGAGTTTTACCCATCTCCTTTGAGAAAAGAAGGGCTTTTGTGAATCAGAACGTCATTGCTCAAAGCTTATTATTTCTCAAGGTGAAGATGGCCGATGAGCATTAGCTTTTATAGATCAAATATGGAAGAATATTTTTATTATTGATTCTCTCAAGTTAACAAAACATTTTTTACCTTTCGAGTGCCTCACAGGACCAACTATTATACTTTGATTTTTTGTTTTTGTTTTTGTATTTTTTTATATATTTTTTTAACCTTACTGAGCTAATGTTAACTAAAATCCTTAGAACTTTTGCCTCTGTGTAAGGAAGTCCTGTTTCTCTACCCTATGAGAGCTATTTGTATAATCTCTGACTGTAATGATCACTTGGAAAGATTTTCCTTGCATCTCTAATGATTTTTTTAATGGAATACTGCATACGGGGAATAAATATATTGTAACCCAATGTTAATTTAAGCCCGTGTCCATACAGGCCAACTAAGCCAAACAAAGTCATAAATATTTCCAGAATACTAGTTTAAATGTTAATTTAAGCCCGTGTCCATACAGGCCAAGTAAACCAAATGAAGTCATAAATATTTCCAGAGTGCTATTTTTGAAAAGTGAGGAGATGGCTTTGGATGTCACTGAGTGGGTTTTCTCTCCAGGCTTAGTCTGGCAGTGGACTTCCTGAAGCTTTTGTGGTTTC